TGGGGCTGAGTGTATCTCAGGGAGTAGGACCTAACAGGCCGAGGGATTCCCACCTCTTGCCCTAAGTGTTTGGTAGAGAAGTCTAACTCCACCTGGCTGAGTCAACTCTGGAGGGCTTCCTGGAGGAGTCAAGCTTATTAGGAAGGATTTCATGAGGTGTTTACTAGGTTGCTATACTGGAAGGGGGAGAGTGAGGCAAGCCCTCCCTGGAGAAGAGCTTGTGGAAGAAGTAGTTCCCTCTGTGGTCCTGGGCGGACGCTGCATAGAAACAAGGGTGAACCTGGGTTCTGTGGAAGAGGCTGAGAATGCAGCCCACAGCCCACTGGGTCTGACTGGTAACCGGGCAGCTCGGAGCACTAGACCTGACTTTTCAGTGCAGTGTCCTCATTGTACCACCGGGGGCACCATGGCCTCCCAGACCTGTGGGAAGAGGCAGACGTGCTTCGGAGTATCAGAGCACACCTGTCATGTGTGGGAGCCGTGTGGGCACACCCGCCATCACATGTGGGAGCCGAGCGTGCTGGCTCACGTGCCATCACGTGTGGGAGCTGTGTCGACACCTGCTGCTGACCCTGGCGGTGCCGTTCTTCACTGAGAGGCATCTCCCTCGGCGGCCTAGGTGACACTAGTGGCTGGGCATTGAAAGAGGGAGGTAAGGGGCGGGATTGTGCCACCAGGATCCCTTGGGACCTGGTGGAGATGAGCCCCAGGGCTGTCCTCAGGCCTGGAAGTGGGCGGCCGAAAGCCCTGTGGGCCCAGTCCCCGGTAACCCGGCACTTCCCTGACTTCTGGCCAGGGAGGGCTGTGGGGGTGGGATTGGGGTGTCTCGTCGCCCTGACAGCCACGAGTGCACTGTGGCCGACTCGGGTGGGGACGCCGTGAGACGTGAACGAGCCGTCCAGGGTGCTGCGAGGGCCTGAGAGGCTGGCGAGCAAGTGTGTGCGCATGAACCAGCGTGTGTCTGTGTGTGCACACGTGCCAGCAACCACCTCTCCAGGTAGACTCCACCTCGCCCCTTCTGCAGCCTCGTCTTTTTCCTCCTTCTTTTTAGTTTTTGCTATAGGGCACGTACACTCCCTGGAGCCAACTGGAGGTGAGGGGCAAGTGAGAAATCCCCACAGTGCGGCTGGCCACACCGCAATCCCTTCTCCTGTCTCTGTTCAGGATTTTGGATGTACATTTACCTGTGGCAGGCATGATTTTCAAGCTCCTGGGTCTGGGACTTGACCTGTGAAGTCGGCCGTGTGGGAGGCAGCCACCCTAACCACCGCGCCACGGGTGGGCCCTTGCCTCTTCTGAAAGGGCTCTGGCTCCGCACTGTCAGAGGGCTGTCCCGCGGCCCGAGGATGCCGAGCTCCACACTGCCCTCCTCCTCGCTCTGGGAGGGCTGCATGCCCTCGAAGGAGGCCGAGCCAATCCCTGGACTGGATCCCTGTGGGCTCTTCCTGGGACACTTGTCATGTGACCGAGACAGCCCTGGTCTCAGAGTCTCCATTTCCTCAGCCACATCGTGGAGCATGTCCATGCCCTCTGAGGTTCCAGCTCTCAGGTCTCTGGATCGGGGCCGCCTCACCTCTGGGTGTGTCGTGTGCTGTGTGGTGTCACTGGTCGCAAAAACTCTGTGGGGTGCCCAGTCGGTACATGGGAGGGAGAGGAGCCACCAGAAAAGGACTCCTGCCCTCACCTGGGTAGGCACAGGTATCAGGGAACACTTCCTGGAAGAGGAGGCAGGTAGTAGGAGATGGGGCAGCCATGTAGAGTGGGGTCAGGGTTAGGAAGGCGTTGCTGAGAGAGGGGCTAGGCCAGGCAGAGGCCTGAGGAGAGGAGGCATTTGGCAAGGCCGAGATGCCTGGGCTGTGGGCGGTGGCAGAGTAAGGCTGGAGCTTGGACTTCCTGCTTACCCCCTTTCCAGGGTACCAGCAACCGAGTGTGGGTGTTACAGATGGACACAGACAGGACTTTTTAGCAAAAGAGGTGACTTTGGGTCTGGGTCGAAGTCGGGGGAACATGCCTGGTGGCTTCGAGGTCCTCCCCAGCCACGTCTCCCAGCGTGTCTTGAGTGTGCCGAAGGTGGCTGTCCTGGTGCCGGGGTTCTGGGCCTGGATGTTCTGAGTGTGTGTGAGACCGGCCTGAGAGGGGGAGGGCTTGGACTGTGGGGACCAAGGCGCCTCCCTCTTCCCAAGGGTCTCAGAGACCTCTGATGCTCGAACGAGCCATGACAGGCCCCTGGTCTCTGCCTTGGGTAAGGAGGCAGAGGCCTGGCCAGACTGGTCAGCGGGAATCACGCGGCAGCACCCCTTTTCATTCTCACTTTTCTAAAGAACCCTTTGTTACTATTCCTTAATCCACTATTCCTTAATCCGCTATGGGTGCGTTTGCTCACGAGAGACACAGAGAAGGAGAGAGGGGAAGTGAGAAAGCAGGCAACCCGCTCTGGGACTCGAACCACTGTTGGCCATGAGGGAGTCTTGTTCTTTAATCACCACGCCACCTGCTGGCCCCTGGCCTGTGCATCTTCAAATTGAAGGTGACCTGAAAGGACATGCAAGAACGGCTGGGCCTGATCCCTGACAGAGGCCCAGGCACTGTGTCCCAACCCTGGGCAGGTCGCAGTTAGCAGATGTGGGATCTGCCTGCCTGGCACTCCTGGGCAGGGGAAGGCACCTTCGCCCTGAGCCAAGGGCCACACCCCCTTGTCCAGGCTGCCTCTGGGGATTTTGTTTCCCATCATGCACCTGGATGCCCAGAGCTCCACCCACCTCCCCACCCAAACAAAGCAAATACAGACACACCAAGAAAAACAGGCAGCTGCTGGGGAGCCCTGGGCTCTGTGCCAGGCCTGGCATTAAGAGAGATCCTCTCCAACGGGGGTTGCGCTTTCTCCCGGGTCTGGGTGGGTCATAGCAGAGGGGCTGCTGGCAGGGGTGGCTGGGGATGGTGGGCAGGTCTCAGGTGGGGGTGGGGGGCAGATGGGAAAACAGGTAGGGTCTGTTTTTTTCCTAGAGTTAAAAAATTTTTTTTTTTTTTTGCATGCTATAGGGTGCATGCACTCGCCAGAAAGAGAGAGACAGAGAGACAGAAAGCGAGAAATCACCCCTCAGGGGGGATGGTCATGCCACAATCCCTTCTCCTCCATTCTCCTCTCGGGATCCTGGGCACGCATGCACACACGCCTGGTGTGAGTTTAAGCCACTGAGTCTGGGACTTGAACTGCGGTCGACTACAGGGGAGTCCCGCGACATAGCCATTACGCTAACTGCTGGTCCCGAGAACAGGTAGGGTCTTGAATTAGAGAAATGTGGAGCCTGGGGCCGCCTGTGCCCTGGTGGTTAGGCTCTGCTATGGCGGCCAACCCAGCAGCTGGAGTCCTAGTGTGGTGCCCTGAAACACCCCAGGTGCTGGTGTGTGCACCCCGAATCCTGGCAGGGCAGAGAAACCTAGGAGAAGGGGGTGCTTCCTCTCTGTGTGGGGCAAGTGCACACACCCTCTGGTTGAAGAGAGAGAACCCTAACCCTGGTGGCAGCAGGGTCTAGACCCGGGTTCCGGCCCGGTGCTGCCACTCTTTGGAGAGTTTTTTTTTCTTTTTCTTTTTTTTTTTTCGCTATAGGGAGCGTGCGCTCGCCAGACAGACAGAGAGAGACAGAGAGACAGAAAGCGAGAAATCACCCCTCAGGGGGGATGGTCATGCCACAATCCCTTCTCCTCCATTCTCCTCTCGGGATCTTGGGCACGCATGCACACATGCCCGGCGTGAGTTTTAAGCCACCGGGTCTGGGATGCGAACCGCGGTCGACTATGTGGGAGTCCAGCGACATAGCCATTACGCTAACTGCTGGTTCCCTCGGTGCTGCCACTGTTGCATTGTGGCCTCGAGCACGTCCCTTCCCCTGTCTGAGTGTCAGCCCTACCTTCAGAGTGGGCAGGATTGCTGTAGAAATGGAGTGACATCAGGTATGTGTGCCACGTGTCAGGTCTGGTTGCTGTTGACCCCGCACCCCTCCAGAGCAGCTCTGGCATCGGCTGGTGCCCCTGCCTGTGTCTGGGGTTGGAGCCTGCTGCGTGATCCCCAGGCCCGAGGGGTGCCGAGGCCCTTCCTGCCCTGGTATGCTGTGAACCTGTGCTCGCCCGCCTCCTTTGGGGCTTCTCCACCAGCCAGTTTCCACTTTTTGTTAAATACCTCCCTGATAGGGCACGAAGTACCCTCCCTCAGACAGGGCTTTGGGTGTCACCCCTCGTGGGAGCGCAGGGCTGCCTCCCCAGACTGTGCCCTGAGGCAGACAGTGTCCTGAGGCGGGCAGTGCCCTGAGATAGGCATGCCCTGAGGCACTGGCGCTTCTGTGACCCGCTTGTAACTTCTGCCCTCGGGAGGCACCCAGGGCCACTGCTTTCCAGCACTCCCTGAGGGTAACAGCTGGCGTAAGAGCACGTTTGAGCAAATCACTTTTTTTAAAATTAAATATGTATGTATGTGTGTATGTATGTATTTTCAGTTTGGTCAGAGAGGGACAGAGTGAGAGAGAAGGAAAGTGAGAAAGCAAACCAACAGGTCTGAGACTCAAACTGTGGTCAGCCATGTGGGAGTTCCAGCACCCTTAACTACCATGCCACCTGCTGGCCCCGCAGAGCACTCTTTTTTTAATTTTAAGAATTATTTTATTACTTAATTCCATTTATTATTATTATTTTTAAAATTTGACCAGAGAGAGACAGACAGAGAAAGGGAAAGCCGCCAGGTCCAGGATGTGAACTATGGTCGGCCATGTGGGTGCCCAGCACCCCAGCCCCCTTGCAGCCCCTAACAAAGCACTCTTGAAACACCACATCGTTCATCCTGCAAACTGCAAGGCTGGTGGTATCCCTTCCGTTTCGCAGGCGAGGAAGCTGGGTCCCGAGCTAACGGAGTGGCCCTCTGAGACCAAGCCTCACCAGCTGCACCCTCGTCCCTGCCCTGCCCCGGCCCGGCCCCCATAAGCCCACGGCCTCCTGTTCTCGTCCCCCAGGGTTCCATGTGATCCCCACCATCTCGAGCATCGTCCCGGAGAGCTGCCTGCTCATCGTGGTGGGGCTGCTGGTGGGCGGCCTGATCAAGGGCGTGGGCGAGACGCCCCCCTTCCTGCAGTCAGACGTCTTCTTCCTCTTCCTGCTGCCGCCCATCATCCTGGACGCCGGCTACTTCCTGCCGCTGCGGCAGTTCACGGAGAACCTGGGCACCATCCTGATCTTCGCCGTGGTGGGCACGCTGTGGAACGCCTTCTTCCTGGGCGGCCTCATGTACGCTGTGTGCCTGGTGGGCGGCGAGCAGATCAACAACATCGGCCTCCTCGACAGCCTGCTCTTCGGCAGCATCATCTCCGCCGTGGACCCCGTGGCTGTCTTGGCCGTCTTCGAGGAGATCCACATCAATGAGCTCCTGCACATCCTCGTCTTCGGGGAGTCCCTGCTCAACGACGCTGTCACCGTGGTGAGTGGCTGTCCCTCTCATAGCCAGACCCACGGTGCAGCCCAGGTCTGCACCGGCGGGAGTCCTTCACCTGGCACTGAGCCGCGACGGGGACCGATGTCCACGCCTGTCCCTGTGTGCTTCCCGGCCGCTGGCGTGGTCACCGGGCATGGTTACCTCCCTCACAACTCATGCCAACATAGGGAAGTGCCCTTGGGCCCTCAGCAGCCACCCGCGGTGTCAGGTCCAACAGCTCCGAGGTGTCGCCAGCCGCAGGCCAGTCTGTGGCCAAGGCAGGCCTGTCTGACTCTGCGCCTGGGCCCTTCCCTAGCCAGGCCATGTGTTCCCTCTGTGACTTGCGTTTTGACGTGCTCTTGGGCAGATTTCTGATCCTCTTCTTGTCTCAGTTTATTTTTTACAGGACATTTAATCTCTGAGGGGCCTTTCTGCTCTCATGTTAGCTGTCTTTTATTTTTAGGTTTTTATCATAGGGCACATGTGCTCGCTAGAGAGAGACTGACAGAGACAGTGAGAAGGAAAGGAGAAATCATCCTTGGGGGTGTCCGTGCCACAACCCCTTCTCCGCTCTCCTTTTGGGCACACAGGCACATGCTCTAGGTGCCATTTCAAGCCTCCAGGTCCGGGGCTCAAACTGCGGGTGGCCATGTGGGAGTCCAGTGCCTTAGCTACCAGGCCGCTTGCTGGCCCCAGGGTGTACCTTTTGAACAGAGCCTAGGGAAACCTGCCTTGCCCTGTAAACCCACGAAGGGTGACAAGTGAAAGGGGCCGCTTGCTTGTGCTGTGACTTAGAGCAAGTGGCTGCCTCTTAGCCTGACCTGCGGCCGCTGCGGAGTAGCCGTGTGTCAGTGCTTTCCTTGGTGAGGACAGGCCCCCAAGTAGGTCTGTCTGTGACAGTGCTGTGTGGGCCTGCACACGCCCTTCCGGCTGGTTTCCACAGGAAGCCTGAGTGTGCACACGCACACGCAGTCCATGTTACGGACACACCTCTATCCCTCTCAACCAGACCCCGCATGGAGCAACCTCACACACAGGAAACACAAGGACACGCGTGCACATGCGCCCCAGCCCCTCAGGAGCAACACCTCAAACTAGAGACAGGCCACGGTGCCCAGCACCTCCACCTCAGCTCCCCTTCCTGCCCGCCTCCTCGCAGCTCCTCGGGGAGCCAGGCAGAGCAGCAGCTGGCCCGATAGGCGGGCGTCCGTCCTGCGTCCCGCCCTGGTTACCACACGAGCCTGTTTTCCCCTCTGAGACAAGGGCAGCTGCACCGGCTGTCACCCTTTTAGGACCCGTGCCCTCTGAGGCCTGTGGGTCTAGTGGGTGCCGAAGATAGACCCTCCCCATGGGACGTGGGAGGGGGTTCAGCGGGCACTGCCAGGCAGCACTGTTCTGTCACATGGTTCCTCAAGTCCCCTGCATGTCACCCAGGGCAGCAGTAGAGGTTGTCGGTGTGCGGAGCACTTGCCGTGTGGACACGTGTTGTTGGTTTGTCGAGCACTCTCTGTGTGGACACGTGTTGCTCACCAGTCCACACAGCAGCTCTGTGAGGTTGGTGCGGTCATGATCCCAGCTTTCCAGATGAGAACTCTGAGGCACCGAGAGATTAAGTCACCCACCCAAGGTCACATTCGCCTGCAAGTGATGTGCTGGTGACCAGGTCTACGTGGTCTGAGTCCAGAGCTCAAACACCGACCACTGGGCCATGAGGACCCCGAGCCCTTAGGAGTGAGTGTAGCAGCTGTGTGCAGCAAGCTGTCCCTCCTGGCAGCCCAGCTGGTCTCCCAGGTGACTGTGGTCCAAGCACTTGGGGTCCTGGTCTGTCTGAGGACTCCCTTTCTGCCTAGACCACGTCAGGCCTTTCTGGCACTCGGAGTGAGTATGGCACCCTGGTTTCCAGGCAAGAGCTGTGGGGTCGCAGGTCCGTGCCCCACCTCACAGGTGTTGCTATGACCAGGGTGAAGGTCATCGAAGTGCCACTGAGCCCCTGGCGGCAGTGAAGCACCGGGTGGTGAGCACACCTCGGCTGCCTTTCTGTGCCCCTGAACTGGGCTGTCTGTCCCAGCCTGGGAGCTGGTTAAAGGGCAGTTTCCAGCCCCCGACATTGAGAAGTCCTGTCCTACTGCGCGGATGGAGAGACGAGACCTAGAGCAGGCTGGCTTGCCCGGCATCGTTAGTGGGCAGCAGACTCAGTCCCTGCAGCAGCACCCCTAGGCGCAGTCCCAAGCGTGGTCCCTTCCTTGTCTGACACCCCTCACCAGAGCTGCAGAGTTGATAATGTTTTCACCTGCATTTTTCCCCCTAGAATTATTTACTTAATTTTACTTATTACTACTATTATTTTAATTTACCGTAGGGTACATGTACTCACCAGAGAGAGAAAGAGAGAGAAGGAAAGTGAGAGTGCAAGCTGCCAGGTCTGAGTCTCGAACTGTAGTCATTCATGTGGGAGTCCAGTGCCTTAACCACCATGCCCCTTGCTGGCCCCTATTATCGGCATTTTACAGCTGGTAAAACGGGCTAGTTTGCTGTGTGTCCTCAGAGTGGCGCAGCGCTGGCGTCTGGCTGAGTTTGAGCTTTGGGTCCGCCCGGCATGCTGAGCCCGAGCTGGGCCCCTGTCCCAGGCCATGGCTGTGGGTGCCTGACTGGCACGAGGGTTTCTCGCTGCCGCATGGCCTCTTCCTGTGCCAGGTTGGCCACGGGGTGGGCTGCCCAGGGGCACCTGGGGAGCTGTGGGTGCCCTCCCCACCAGCCTGCACTCCCCCAGGTCCTGTACCACCTCTTTGAGGAGTTTGCCAACTACGACCACGTGGGCATTGTGGACATCGTCCTCGGCTTCCTGAGCTTCTTCGTGGTGGCCCTGGGCGGGGTGTTTGTGGGCGTGGTCTACGGGGTCATCGCGGCCTTCACCTCCCGCTTCACCGCGCACATCCGCGTCATCGAGCCGCTGTTCGTCTTCCTCTACAGCTACATGGCCTACCTGTCGGCCGAGCTCTTCCACCTGTCGGGCATCATGGCGTGAGTCGGGGCGCGGCAGTGGCTGGGAGCCCCACGCTCATGGGTCATAAGAGCTCTGCAGATCCACTGGTGGCCACTTAAGTGACCAGGGTCCTCAGGGCCTTCTGAGAAGGGCGCTTCTGGGTTCTGTGGGATCTTGGAATCTGGCTCTGAGCAGGTGAGGCCGGAGTGGATGCAGGTATGGCCTGGCTGCCCTGGGTTAACGTCCCAGGAGTCTCAGCCTGCCCCTCCGCCCTGAACTCGTGTCAGAGGGGGAGTCCTGTGGATGGAGCTGTTCACGGCACCATCCTCTCCTCCCTCCATGGAAGGCCTGAGGCCTCCTCTGGGTCCCAAAGCGGGGGAATGGGGTCTGGGAACAGTGAGGTACGAAGGGCTCCCATTGGAGCGCCTGCGAGGGCAGAGCTGGGCTGGACTGGGGTTCAGGGTGACGGCGAGGAGGCCTGGCCGAGGAGCAGCACCCAGGAGGGTGCTGGGCTGGAGGACCTGGGCTGCTGCTTGGATCAGAGGTCCCCATGGAAGCCTCGAACTCTGGGCCTGCCATGCTGTCGTAGGCCGGGAGCATTGACTCGGGCAGGACAGGCGGAGAGGCAGGGAGGAGAGGCTTTGGAGCTGGACGGACCCTCCTCTGTGGTTGTTCTACTTTATTTTTTGTGGTCATGATAAAGTGTGCGCACACACGAGAGGGAGGGGCGCACTCTCGACGTCTCGCAGAGCCTCAGCTCCTTGGGGGCGTGGGTGCCCTGGTGAATAGCCCCGTATTGTCAAGCCGACCTAGAGGTCGGAGGTCACAGTTGGCCTGATGGCTTCCTGCACCGCAGTTAAGTGTTACCCACAGGGCCTCATCTGGACCTTAGCTCTGCCTTGCTGGTGGTGAGTGGACAGGGGCTGCTCTCTAAGAGTCACGGTCCCCTGTGCTGCAGGGTCAGGGTAGACTGCAGCCTGCCCTCGAGGCCGGCGGGGGGTGGGACACGCCTGGCAGTGAGGAGCCCTCAGAGAGGGCTAGATCTGAACCCTGAACCCTGAACCCTGCCTTCTTGACCCCAGGCTCATTGCCTCAGGCGTGGTGATGCGTCCCTACGTGGAGGCCAACATCTCCCACAAGTCCCACACCACCATCAAGTACTTCCTGAAGATGTGGAGCAGCGTCAGCGAGACCCTCATCTTCATCTTTCTGGGCGTCTCCACCGTGGCCGGCTCCCACCACTGGAACTGGACCTTTGTCATCAGCACTCTGCTCTTCTGCCTCATCGCTCGTGTGCTAGGTGAGGGCCGGTGTGTCACGTGCAGGGACCGGGCTGTGGTGCATATGTCACGTGCAGGGACCGGGCTGTGGTGCATATGTCACGTGCAGGGACTGGGCTGTGGTGCATGTGTCACGTGCAGGGACTGGGCTCTCTGGCTGCAGTGTGTCACATGCAGGGATCAGGCTGTGATGCGTGTGTCTTGTGCAGGGACCGGGCTCTCTGGCTGCAGTGTGTCCTGTGCAGGGACCGGGCTGTGGTGCATATGTCACGTGCAGGGACTGGGCTGTGGTGCATGTGTCACGTGCAGGGACTGGGCTCTCTGGCTGCAGTGTGTCACATGCAGGGATCAGGCTGTGATGCGTGTGTCTTGTGCAGGGACCGGGCTCTCTGGCTGCAGTGTGTCCTGTGCAGGGACCGGGCTGTGGTGCATATGTCACGTGCAGGGACTGGGCTGTGGTGCATGTGTCACGTGCAGGGACTGGGCTCTCTGGCTGCAGTGTGTCACATGCAGGGATCAGGCTGTGATGCGTGTGTCTTGTGCAGGGACCGGGCTCTCTGGCTGCAGTGTGTCCTGTGCAGGGACCGGGCTGTGGTGCATATGTCACGTGCAGGGACTGGGCTGTGGTGCATGTGTCACGTGCAGGGACTGGGCTCTCTGGCTGCAGTGTGTCACATGCAGGGATCAGGCTGTGATGCGTGTGTCTTGTGCAGGGACCGGGCTCTCTGGCTGCAGTGTGTCCTGTGCAGGGACCGGGCTGTGGTGCATATGTCACGTGCAGGGACTGGGCTGTGGCTGCAGTGTGTCACGTGCAGGGACCGGGCTCTCTGGCTGCAGTGTGTCACGTGCAGGGACCGGGCTCTCTGACTGCAGTGTGTCCTGTGCAGGGACCGGGCTCTCTGGCTGCCTTGTGTCAGAGGCTCCGGCTGCCCCAGCAGTGTCATTGGCACACATGCCCATGCCCTACCTCTGTGGGCTGACGCCATGATGGCCTGTGTAGGGGGAGCCTCTGCTCATGCCAGGCTGTTCTCTGCACAGTGGTATGTGTCAGATGAAGGAACCCCTGAGACCTTAACTTGGGGCCTGCTGGTTTTCTGAGGAAGGGACTGAGGCCCCAGACCCAGACCCATGGCCCTGCAGCACAGATGCGCAGACAGTGTGAGACTTCCAGCCCAGCCTGAGCTCCCTGCCCAGCGAGGGGCCAGCCTCAGGCCCTCAGACCCTCTGCCCTCAGTGACTGGAGTGATGAGGTCCCTTTCTGTCTGGGTCTCACACACCTCTCTAAGTGAGGGTTAGTCTGTGGCCCCTCGGCTGGGGGCCGTGTTGAGTTGGCATGCCTTTCTTTTAATTTGTATAGGGTGTGTGTACTTGTCACGGAGACAGACAGGGAGCTCACGCCCCCAGGAAGATGGCCATGCAGCAGTCTCTTCTCTGTGCTGCTTGTGGCATTTTGGGCACCCATGCAACATGCCTGGAATGTTCTAGAACTGCTGGGTCGAGGACTTGAACCGCACAGTCAGTCATATGGGATCCAGCGCCCTAAGCACCACGCCACCTGCTGGCCTAGTCCTCCGCACCTTAAGCTGAAGTTTTGAAAGTAGAAAGTAGAATAGTGGCCCTGAATATGTGCATGAGAACCGCCCACGACAGGTGAAGGGTCTGTTGCACCTTTTCTCTCTCCCCTCCCACCTCTGGCCCCTGGACACCTCTGTTTGCCCCCAGGTTGAGAAAGCCCTCAGGGTCCTCTCAGCTCTTGGACCAAGGGCCTGGCGGTGGTGGGCTTAGTGGGGGCTCCCTGATGTGTGAGGCCTGACCGCTCGCTGCCCCTTCCCCGGCAGGTGTGCTGGGCCTGACCTGGTTCATCAACAAGTTCCGCATCGTGAAGCTGACCCCCAAGGACCAGTTCATCATCGCCTATGGCGGCCTCCGAGGCGCCATCGCCTTCTCTCTGGGCTACCTGCTGGACAAGCACCACTTCCCCATGTGTGACCTGTTCCTCACCGCCATCATCACCGTCATCTTCTTCACTGTCTTTGTGCAGGTGCGCGCCGTAGGGAGAGGAACTGGGGCCATGCTCACTTGCTGTGTGACCTTGGGCAAGGCACACCCCCCTCTGGACCTCGGTTTCTTTAACTGTAGAGAGAATCGTGACACCGAGTCGTGAACGGCCCGGTCAGAACGTAGTGACCGGAGGCTGCCCAGCTTTCGCAGAAACCCAGATGACCTTAAGGGAAGTGGGTAAAGTCCAGTGTTGGACTTCACACCAACCCGGTGTAGGGCTTCGGGTGAGGGTTTCCTGTCTTGGCTGTTTCTGCATCTTTTTTTATTTGTTTGCTTTTTTTTTTTTTTTTTTTGAGAGGTTTTTGCTATAGGGCGTGCATGCTCGCCGGAGAGACACAGAGAGAGAGAGACAGAGGCAGAAAGTGAGAAATCACCCACTGAGGGGTGGCCACTGCAATCCCTTCTCCATTGGAAACACCCACCTCTTAGGGCCGTGGGGACTGAAGCGCTAATGCTCGTGGGACACCTACCCCGGCCTATCCCCGGGCAGACCCGCAGTGGGTCAGCCGCTGCTGCAGTGGGGGTCCTGCCGTC